CAAGGCCCGGCCGCGATAAGGCCGCGGCGGGGAAGCAGGGCGGGGTACCCCGCCCGGCCCGGCTTGGCGTGTGTCCTGCCCCGCTGCGGGAGCCCGGGGGGATTCAGCGGGCCGGGGCTCGTGGCCCAGCGCCCGCACTGCCCGCGCTGCCCGCGCACCGAGGATGTGTCACTGCTCAGCAGCAGGAGCGGAGCACCCAGCCCGGGCAGGGCGGTGGTGGCACAAACACGCGCGGAGCGACCGCGGTCCCCGCACCAGGCGCCTGGCACAAGGGCTCCAGCCTTGGAGCGGCTCTGCCGAGCAGACGGGCAGCCGGAGCCCTGCCCAATCCGCCCCGAGCGAGGGATGTGCCAGGGCGGTTGTGGGGTGCCTGCTGGAGTCCCCCTCGTCCCGCTCTGCTGCTGGGAGCATCCATGTCCTGGGGGGGCAGGAGGGTGGCGGGACACGATGCCGCCAGGATCCTCCTGGAGACGGACGTGAGCGTTTGCACCCTCCAAACCTCTGCTGAGATCTCTCCTCTGCACTCATGAGCCTCCCCGGGGAGGCACTGGGAGGCTTCGTGCTGCCCATGAGCTTTGCAGGCCCCTGGAGCCGGGCAGCACGCGTGCTGCGGCTGTCGCGGGCTTTGAGGAAGTTCCTGCGATGGGTGATCCAGGAAGAGTCCCAGGTTTAAATTCTTGTGTATAAGGAAGGGCTCAGAAAATCTCCCCGGGACTTGGAGAGCCTCTCAGGGAGGTGCTGGGTGCTTCCCCATCAAGTTGTTGTTATTCGTTCTGCAAATTGTCACAGACTGAGGGAAGTGCCTGCCAGTAATGGTCCCAGGTGCTAAACTGTGAAAGGGGACAGGGCCACCAGCAGGCCTGTGTACGGCCTCTTAATTTCCATCCAGGTTCTTGGGACACAGTTGGATGGGAACAAATGTCTTGCAGCATGAAGGTCGGGAAAGCAGCACGGGGAATTTCAGCAGTTTCGGTCCCTGTGGGTCTGTCTTTGTTGGAGAGACGGAAAGGAGAGAGCCGAGAGCTGAGGGCTGGCTGCGGGGGGAGCCGCGGGGCCGGCCGCATCCCTCAAAGGTCTCCTTGTGCTCGGAGTCAGGCTCAGCCGGCAGCGCTCGCCAGGCTCTTGGCAGCAAGGTCAGGCACTGCCCGTCTGCCCTCCCCCCAGCAGGGAGAGCGTCCGTCCACGTCCCCCTGCCCAACCCCCCGAGCTCCGGGGGCGCCAGGCCCACCCCGCCGGAGCGGCTGCGCGGAGGAGCCCCGGGCGGGCAGCGCCGGGCTGCTCCGTCCTGACAATGATCTGATCTTTATCGCAGGCGAGGCAGCCAGGCGTGCAGGAGCGCTGGGCTAGGTGGGGCCCCCGGGAATTTGAGCCGGGCAGATCACCTGCCTCGCAGCAAGGGAGCCCGGGTTGCGCGGAGACAAAGCGCGGAGCCACCCGTCCCCCCGCGCGGCGCGGCACCCAGCCAGGCTCCGGCTGGCTGCACCTGCCGCAGGTGCATCTGAGGCCGAGAGCTGCTCGCTCTCAGCAGGGGTTTTCCCCCGAACCG